AACCCCCAAAACACATACATTTGTTAAAGCCCATTCAACATGCACCTTTAAAAACTTCACTTCTTCCTCTTTGTGTCTTTCTTTTTCGGGAGAAAGTCGGTACCCTCCACAAAAATAACGAATTTTTTTTGTTTTTCTGCGTTTTCGAGTCAAATGCACACATAAGTCATGTACATATCGATTCTCATGAGTCAATACTTTTCACATACAAGTCACAATCGAGTTAAGTCGACCTCAAGTTGGTCAATCGTATTAAGTCAAGTTTACACCTTGAGTCATGTCAAGCCATGTGTGTCAAAACGCTTTGAGTCGAGTCATGACAAGTCATATTTGTTAAAAATATATTGAGTATTATGTAATAAGTCAAGCAACACTGAGCCTTAGGTCAACCCCTAAAGAAAAGATGAGCAAAGTCATATAGTCCAAAATATAAATGCAGGTACAAAAGATTTGAAGCAAAAGGACGCAAATGGTTAGAAAATCAACTAGAGTCGGCCTGATCTCAGTTAGATTGACGATCAGCCTGATTGATTGACCACATCCGAAGTTTGATCAAGCACCTTAGACTTAGTAAAATCTTGAAGGATAGGGTTTTTGACAGAGTTTCAAGGCATCAGAAGCTATCACTTTTAAAGAGCAAGCAAGCAAGAATGTTCCCAGATTTTTCAAAAAACTGCGAATATAAATGCATGAAATTCTTCCAAAATATTAGGAGTTTGATAAAGACTTACATGGATCAATAAATTAGAGATAAAGAGCTTTAATTTGCAAAAGACTTGAGCAGATTTGGTTAAAAGGAAACAACCAAGTTGAAGGTTCAGAGCGAAACTGAGCAATGAACAACAACAGCAACACTAATGGAGAAGAAAGGAGTTTTTAGTTTAAAAAACTTGACTCTGTCGCTAAACGACAATATTGTCGTCTGGAGCTAATCTTTGTCGCCTAGCGACAGAGCTAAATCCTGGCGACAGTGCAATCCGGCGTGCGCTGGTGCGACGACAGAAAGCGTGGGTCTCATAAATGAGTATGTGGACCTTATGCAACAATTTCAGGTTCCTTGGTACGCCAGTTAGCCCCTATAAGAAATTTGACATGATCAAGTAATTGGCTCGATTAAAAACACAATAGGTGATCGACCTGATGAAAGATTATCTCACTTAGCTTAAAGCGCCTAAACATTGGCTCATCGCAAAGGCACCGACATAATGGTTCACAAGCAGCAAAATGCGTCGACGTACTATCACCGCGGAAATTTCAGCAAATATCACGACAGCAAAGTTCAAGCGAGCTTTAAGGATCGACAAGCGTTGGTCTTCGGTAATTTTCTTCGGAATATTATCGCAACGACTGAGGATGACTTCAAGAAAAGTTATCTTCGATAGTGTTCCCTATGATGAGGAAAGTTGTCAAGAAGCTGAGGATGACTTCAAGCGAGGTTATCTTCGACGACATTCCCTAGCTTGTGGAGGGTTTTCACGGAAAACTGAGGATGGCTTTAAGTGAAGTTATCGTCGACGACGTTCGCTAAGATTGAGAAGGTTGTCCCCTAAATTTGAGAAGATAGCACGCGATGGGCAGTCTTCGACGACATTTGCTAAGATTGAGGAGGTTGTAACCTAGATTTGAGAAGCTAGCAGAAGATGGGCAGTCTTCGACGACGTTCGCTAAGATTGTGGAGGTTGTCACCTAGATTTGAGAAGATCGGTTCGTGATGAGGAGGTCTTCGACAACATTCGCTATTGATATGAAATAACTAAGGAAAGACAAGTAAAAGGAAGGAGAAATCAAGTAACAACAAGTTCAAACCAACAAACCAAGATAAACCTATCTCAAATTCACAAAGATAGATGAAATAGGGGTCTTAATCAAAGCCAACACCAAGTAAAGCTAGGATTAAGGTGTAACCACAAAAATTACAAGAGATACAATCACAAAGAAAGCAAGATAATCACAAAGATTATGGTAGAGAGAGAAAGTCTCTTGATTACAAAGTTCAACAAAAACTAAAATGCAAAAACGTCTTAAAACAACTTAAATAGTTCGCACAAACTGATAAAAAAACCGGAGAAGGTTCGGCTGAACGCTGGGTAAGTTCGGTCGAACTTGTGGGTAGGTTTGGTCAAACCTTTGGAGTTCGACCACTCCTGCAAAGATGCAAAAATCAGGTCTAAAACTGCCTTAAGGTTCGGGCGAACCACAATGTAGGTTCGACCGAACTCCCCTGCTCCTGGACAGCTCAACTTCAAACATTCATAACTTCACTACTACAAAACTTAAAAAAGAGACCCCTAATTTAAGAGTCGTTACTTTAGCCAACAGGTCTGTTTCATGAAAGAGATCATTTATTACATATAACGGGTCTCTTACCTCTTTTTTAATTAAAAAATAAGATAGTTAAGAGACCTATCATTAAACTAACGGATCCCTTACAATTTTTTTCACGGGCCTTGTGTTACATCACGGCTTTCACGGGCTCCTTCACACCTCTGTAGTCTATACCTTCTAGTATGTTCTTTTTATACAGCGCATATTTATTTTCATATTCCTTTTCTAAAATACTCTGTAATAATTTCATTCTATTTTTCCTCACAACTTTCTCCATCTTTAATTGTTGAGATCAAATGTTAGAAAATTCCTTATCTAATCTTGTATATGAACGAAGATAATGCTACGACGACACCACAACAATGGTGCTACTGCAGTACTCCATATTTTATTGTTGGTATGTTACATTTTTATTTATTATTTTATTAAATTTATTTTGATTTATAAGGTATTTTTAACTATTAATCTTGAAATTGTTGAAAGTTTAATAAAAATTTGTTTTTGGATTTGCATGCATCTTGATTGGGCATTTTGTAAAGAGTTCTTAAAATTATTTTACAAGTATAATGGACAATGAGATAATCAATCAATTTGGCAGATTGAACCAACTTGATTGGAGATTTTATAAGTTTGTAAGTTTGATGGAGTAATTTGTAAGGAGTTCTTATTATTAATTTTTCTTGTCTTATTTTTCTGGGTTGCTCTTAGATTGTGGGTTTGATTTGGTAAGGGTGGAAGATTGATTGTTGTTGCCGGGATCATATTATTATTTTTTGAGGGGTTAAATTGCTGGGCTAAGATTAATTTTGTTTAAATTATTTTTAGGTTGAAGATTGTATTGATGAACTTTTATGTATATTGTGGGGTTCAAGCAAAGGAGGAGGTCAGTTTTTCTGTAAAATTTCTACTGATTTTCTTCGCTATACATTTCCTTTTTTGTTAATTTGTGGTTTATTCATGTATTTTTTGTTCAGCCCCTTTTTTATATTGTGTAGTTATAACCAATTCTTTGGTTTTTATAATGCCAGATCTGATTTAAGAACATCTTAATTGAAGGAGAACAAATATGGAGTACTCAAGTCATACTATTGATTGTAATTATATTTTTTTTTACGATAAGTTTATACCTTTGTTTGTTGGAATTTCAAAGAGCCGATTTTGAAATTAAATTTGATTTTTTTTTTTTTTTTTTAAAAAGAACAAAGAGATCCGTTGTATAACATAAGAGGTCTGCTAGATAATACTAAACATACCTAATATTTCAAATAATGGGTCTCTTACCCTTAACAAATATTAACTTCATACCTCACATAACAGACCTCCTATATTTAATAACGGGTCTCTTCGCCCTTTAAAACAGACCGTCTTGAGAGACGGTCTGTTTACCAAACAGACCCCCCCCTGAGATAGAGACCCGCTCAAAGGCGGTCTCTCAAGCATATTTGAACGGGTTTCTTTGCTAGTTTTTGTAGTAGTGCTTCTTCGTTTCTTGCTCAAATTTGGCATGTGACCAGTCGTTGGAAAGCTCTTGAACTCTACTTTCACCTCCAACTTGAATCTCCTAAAAATTTCTTGTAACAAAGGAGATATAGCTGAAAGAAGTAGTTGCATCATATATTGATAAGCTTCTTGTCTTCAAGTGTGATGATGGTTAGCCCCGAAAGGTGACCTCTAAGGAGCTTGGCCCGACTTCGTATCACGACACGTGGCATGTCTTCCACTTCTTCCACTAAGTTCCATGCACCTGCGTCAAACCCCTCCTCTTCAAAAGGAATTGCCCTCAATTCCGGATCATCATCACCAATATCATCTTCAAAGAGAAAAGGAGCAAGATCACCAACATTAAAGGTAGCATGAACAACAAAGTCTTCCGGTAGTTTGAGCTTATAAGCATTAGGTCCAACTCTCTCCACAACTTCAAAGGGGCCTTCGGATCTTGGCATGAGCTTGTTCTTCCTCTTAGCCGGGAATATTTCCTTCTGAAGATGGAGCCACACAAGATCACCTACATTGAATTCCCTTAGCTTCTTGAATTAGTTTGTCCTTGCCTTGTAACTCTCATTTGCCTTCTCAATTCTCTTCTTGACATCTTCATGAAGCTTTTTCATCGTTTCAACTCTATATTTTGCCTCAAAGCTCAACTCCTCTTGAGGGATACTAGGCAATAAGTCAAGTGGTAGGCGGGGATTAAAACCATACACTACTTCAAATGATGTTTTCCCGGTAGCTATGCAATGAGAGCGGTTGTAAGCAAATTCAACTTGAGGTAGCTTAAGATCCCAATCTTTCATGTGTTTGCTAATGATAGCTCGGAGAACGGTGGACATGGTACGTTTAGTCACCTCGGTTTGAGGGTGAGTAGAGGTACTAAACAAGAGCTTGGTTCCCACTAACTTTCACAAAGTCTTCCAAAAGTAGCTCAAGAACTTAGGATCACGGTCCGACACAATACTTTTTGGAATACCATGAAGCTTCACCACTTCTCTAAAGAACAAGGTAGCCATAAGAGAAGCGTCATCGGTCTTATGGCAAGGAATGAAGTGAGCCATCTTGCTAAAAAGATCAACCACAACAAACACGGAATCATTTTTCCTTTGAGTGCGAGGGAGAGAAACCACAAAATCCATGCTAAGATCATCCCAAGGGTGACTAGGGACCGGAAGTGGAGAGTAGAGTCATTCACGGAATTGACTATTAGCCCTGTGATAAGCCCCACAATGAGCTATCACATCTTTCACATCACCAAACATCTTGGGCCAATAAAAATGTTCTCGAAGAATGTCATATGTTTTTGCAACCCCAAAGTGTCCGGCTAGCCCTCCTTGATGAGCTTCTTTAACAAGGAACCGTCGATGAGAGCATTTTGGAACACAAAGCTTGTTTCCCTTAAAAAGGAAACCCTCTTGCACCATGAAAGAGCCATCGACCCCTTCCTCACACTTCTTCATCAACCCACCAAAATCCTCATCATCGTGATACAACTCTTTAAGCAACTCAAACCCTAAAAACTTCGCATCAAGAATAGTGATCATACAATGCCTCGTAGAAAGAGCATCAGCAACAACATTGCTCTTCCCTTCCTTTTACTTAGAAGAGAAAGTGAACGATTGGAGGAATTCAACCCATTTGGCATGCCTTGCATTGAGTTTATGAGAACCATTGATGTACTTGAGAGATTCATGATCGGAGTGTAGTACAAATTATCTAAGCCTCAAGTAATGTGACCAATGATTAAGAGCCCTCACAACAGCATAGAACTCCTTGTCATAGGTACTATACCTCATTCTTGCTCCACCAAGCTTCTCACTAAAATAGGCAATCGGCCTCCCTCCTTGCAGAAGAACCGCTCCAACTCCAACCCCACTAGCATCACATTCAACTTCAAAGGGTTGATCAAAATTCGGAAGGGCTAAGATTGGAGCCTCACACAACTTTTTCTTGAGGGTCTCAAAAGCCCTTTCAGCCGATGGTGTCCACTCAAAAGTACCCTTCTTCATGCATTCGGTCACCGGGCCAAAATAGTGCTAAAATTCTTCACAAACCTTTGATAGAAGAAAGCTAAACCACGAAAACTCCTATCTTGAGTGAGAGTAGTAGGAGTAGGCCAAGATTGAATGGCCTCCACTTTACTAGGGTCCATTGAGATCCCTACATTTGAAATCACATAACCAAGAAAGACAATACTATCCACCATAAAAGTACATTTTTCCAACTTGGCAAAAAGCCTCCTACTTCTCAATGTTTCAAATACTTGCCTCAAATGTTTAACATGATCAAGTTCACATTTGCTATAAACAAGTATGTCATCAAAATAAACAACAACAAATTTACCAATGAAAGGGCGAAGTACCTCATTCATGAGCCTCATGAAAGTGCTAGGAGTGTTAGAGAGCCCAAATGGCATAATTAGCCTCTCATACAAGCCTTCCTTTGTCTTGAAAGCGGTCTTCCACTCATCTTCTTCACACATACGAATTTGATGGTACCCCATCCTCAAGTCAATCTTCGAAAACACCTTGGAACCATGTAACTCATCAAGCATATCATCAAGTCGGGGAATAGGGAAGCGGTACTTGATGGTAATGTTGTTGATGACCCTACTATCCACACACATCCTCCATGTACCATCCTTTTTCGGGACCAAAAGAGCCGGAACCGACCAAGGGCTAAGGGATTCCCTCACAAATCCTCTTTCAATCAACTCACCAACTTGTCTTTGAAGCTCTCTTGCTTCATCGAGGGTGCACCTATAAGCCGGTCTATTAGGGAGTTGTGATCCGGGAATAAGATCAATTTGATGTTCAATTCCCCTAATAGGTGGCAAACCGGGTGGGAGATCATCGAGAAAAACATCATGGTACTCAACCAATACTTCCTTGATAAGGGGGTGGATTGGGTTCTCTCGCTCACTCTCTTATGTTTCCCTAAGAAGACAAACAAAGACAATGTGTCCTTGATTTATCTCCTTGCCCATCTCATTTTCCCCAATGAGAAGGTTCTCTTTGATTGTGTTTCCCGTACCAAAGGTTTTTTTGTGTTTGATGGTGGGGGACAAGGGGTTGAGTACAATCTTTTTCTTATCCATCATGAATGAATAAGTATTCTTTCTTCCATCATGCATCACATCTCTATCAAATTACCAAGGTCTACCAAGCAATACATGACAAGCATCCATAGGCAATACATCACAAAGCACCTCATCCTTATATAACTTGCCAATTGAGAAAGAAAGAAGAGTTTGTTTCGTTACCTTCACCTCATTGTGATTGTTAAGCCATTGAAGCTTGTAGGGAGTAGGATGATCGGTCGTTTCAAGATTGAGCTTGCTCACCAATGTTGTTGAGGCCACATTAGTGCAAGAGCCACTATCGATGATAAGATTGCAAACCCGCTCCTTGATGGTGCATCGAGTTTGGAAGATTTTTTCCCTTTGCTCTTCCGATGAAGGGGTGGAAATGGACTGAAGTGCTCTCCTCACAACAAGGATTTGACCCTCATCGGCGTCAACTACAATTTCATCCTCCTCATCATATATAGGGTCACCGAAATCCCTCTTCTCATCTTCGTACTCATCATCATCCATTTCACGAATCATCATAGCTCTACTATTTGGAATCTCATTAGCAAAATGTCCATAGCCTCTACACTTGTAGCAAGTGTTTCGATTTCCCATCTTGTTGTGATCATCTTTGCTAGGAAAATGCATGGGACCCTTGCCTTTGTCATCCTTCACAATGGGCTTGCTTGTCTCACCTGTTAGAGCAAAAGAATTCTTGAACGTAGGCTTAGGATACCCACTAGCACTACTCACCTTGTCATACTTCTCAAACTTTAAAGCCACTTGCACCACTTGATCAAAACTTCCATGGGCATGCACATTAACCTTTTGCCCAAGCTTTCTTTCAAGACCACCAATATACCTAGCAATCTTATGCTCCGGTGCTTCCTCAACTCCACTCATGATAGAAAATTTTTCAAACTCCCTAGTATACTTCTCTACCGACATAGTTCCTTGCTTAAGAGGGTTCAATTTAATATAAGCATCTTGCAAATAATCTCTAGGCACAAAAGCCTTGTTCATATGTTTCTTTAATTTCGCCCAAGAAGTGATTTTTGATTTTCCATCTTTCTTCCTACGATTCTTAAAGTTCTCATACCACAAAGAAGCATGTTTTTTTAGTTTAAGGATGACCAATTTGAAACGTTTTTCATCATTATAACCCTTATATTCAAACACATTCTCCATACTTCTAGCCCAATCAAGAAATTCATTAGGATCAAGATTACCTTCAAAGTCCGAAAATTCCAACTTGATGTCTCGGTCACGGTTGTCCTCATGGTGTCGTTGGCGGTGTTCCCTTCTCCGGTGAGGAGAGTGAGAGTCATCTTCTTCACTAGGGCTCCTCCTCCTTCTAGGACTTCTTCTATTCTCCAAGACCTCAAGAAGTCTATCAAACTTCCTTTCTAGAGCATCCAATCTAGAGTTTTCATTGTAACCTTCATCATCTTCATAATAATATCTATCACCCATGTTTCAAGATAAAAAGCTTGTGTCTTTGAGAGAAAAATTTCAAATCTGGTGGGAAAAGATGAGATCTTTTGAGAGGGGGAAAGAGAAAATAAAAACTGTAGGATCCTTCTAGGCTAATAACCTAGGCTCTTGATACCAAATGATATGAAATAACCAAGGAAAGACAAGTAAAAGGAAGGAGAAATCAAGTAACAACAAGTTCAAACCAACAAACCAAAATAAACCTATCTCAAATTCACAAAGATAGATGAAATAGGGGTCTTAATCAAAGCCAACACCAAGTAAAGCTAGGATTAAGGTGTAACCACAAAGATTACAAGAGATGCAATCACAAAGAAAGCAAGATAATCACAAAGATTATGGTAGAGAGAGAAAGTCTCTTGATTACAAAGTTCAACAAAAACTAAAATGCAAAAACTTCTTAAAACAACTTAAATAGTTCGCACAAACTGACAGAAAAACGGGAGAAGGTTCGGCCGAACTCTGGGTAAATTCAGACGAACTTGTGGGTAGGTTCGGTCGAACCTTTGGAGTTCGGCCACTCCTGCAAAGATGAAAAAATCAGGTCTGAAACTGCCTTAAGGTTCTGGCGAACCACAATTTTGGTTCGGCCGAACTCCCCTGCTCCTGGACAGCTCAACTTCAAACGTTCATAACTTCTTCTCTTCTTGCTCAAATTTGGCATGTGACCAGTCGTTGGAAAGCTCTTGAACTCTACTTTCACCTCCAACTTGAATCACCTAAAAATTTCTTATAACAAAGGAGATATGGCTGAAAGAAGTAGTTGCATAACATATTGATAAGCTTCTTGTCTTCAAGTGTGATGATAGTTAGCCCCGAAAGGTGACCTCCAAGGAGCTTGACCTCCACTAAGTTCCATGCACCCGCGTCAGCTATGATAGGGAAAGTTGTCACTATGATTCAAGAAAAAAGCTCGAGATGTAGAAGCATTGATCAACGACGTTCCCTAGCTTGTGGAAAGTTGTCATAAACAACTGAGGATGGCTTCAAGAGAAGTTTTCTTTGACGGTGTTCCCTAGGATGTGGATGGTTGTCAAAAGCAGGATGTGATTTCAAGCAAAGTTATCTTCGATCGTGTTCCCTAGCTTGCGGAAGATGGTCACAAAACGGTAGAAGTTCGTTGCTAGCTGTGCAATCTTTGACAGTGTTCCCTAGCTTGTGGAAGATTATCACAGCAAAAATTGGAGGTAGTTATAAGCGTAGCAGTCTTCAAACGGTATCCCCTAGCTTAAGGAAGATCGTCAAACAAATCGGTTACTCCCGAAACATGTGCTCGACGATGCAAGATACGCGTTTCTTAATTCTCTCATCTGTTTTAACTAATGCTAGTTTTTAGGTATTGCGTTGCAAGAATGATTTAGGATCGCAGAACCATCTGAATCATTCTCCGTCTCCATCGTTACTTTGACTTATATTTTCGAAACATAAGTTTCTCCAAACTCAGTCAAAGTTGAGGTTTCTGTAGACACCCAATTGTGTCTCCCCCTAAACCAAACCTAGTGATGAATACCTTTCATGTCATTTGATTATCGAACAAAGTGAAAGTGTGGAAAGTCTAGTGATGAGGATATTTTTATTAAAATATCTCTTCTTTCTGTTTTTGAAATATTTCTTTTCTCACCCTATTTATGAAAAACGTGCATTTTATTTTATTTTGGTCCATGATATGGGTCCTATAATAGTGTAGTTGGATGGGGCTAGAAAAAACCTTTCCAGCGATATATTATAAGCCCAATTCCGATGAATAATGAGGAAGTTATGGCCAAAATACTAAACTGGGCTCAAACCGGATTTTACCTTAGGCCTAATAATCATGTGGAGGGTTCAAAGGTTTAATCCTATGCCTAAACTAATTAGGATTTATTAGAAGCTTCTATGAGTTTCTAAAGGATCTTAATTATCCTTTTTGAAAAGATAAAATCAAAGAATTTGAAATTGAATACAACTTTCTTTTTTTTAATCCTAATTCTATTCAAATTCAAAGATGTTCAAAGACAGTTAGATATTATTTTTGTGTCTTATATATGGTTGGATAGATATTGAAATTATCTTTCCAATGATATATTATAATATTAATTCTGAGCTATAACGAAAACGATATGAAAAAGATACGAAACTCTATCCAAAACTAACATCCTTCCACTATTTCGGCCATATCTTTTTATCTACAAAAGATTTTAATCTGATTTTGATTGAGATAGAAATTAGAGTTCAAGAGATTTCCAACGACATATTATATGCCTTGTGTGGACTTATGGAACAAAAGTTATGACAAAAACAAAATTTGCAAAAACTGATGTTAATCGAGTTTTATTTCGATTTGAATTCGAATTCTTTTCTTATTCTTCGACTTTCTTTTTTTTCCTAAAAATAGGGGTCGTATCTCCTCGTTTTTAATAATTAACAAAAATTATCTCTTTCTCTCTCTAAAATCAAGAAGCTTATTCTTTCTCTCTCTATTCTTTTTCTAAACCTTCCCTTTTACATAATTCCTCATACATTAGTTCGAGAAACAACTGGCCAAGTTCAAAGTTGTCTTCACCCTAGACGTGAAAGGTTGATAATTTCTAAGGGTTTGGTCCCAAATCTTTATTTTAGTTATTTGATTTAATTTTTTTGTTTATTATTTTCCTTAAAGTTACTAACGTGTGTATTTTGTTATTAGAAAGAAATGTGAAGCATCGAAGTAAGTAATTTAATTGTTATTGAATTTTTGATATAGAAATCATGCTTAGATTATTTTATTGATTCCTAGTATCATGTTAGGATGTTTTATTGCTTCTTAGTATCATGTTTAGGGTTAATTAATAATCTAATATCATGTATGATTATTTTGAAGCTTCCTATTTCTTTCCTAATATCATGTTAGGGATAAAGCTTTGATCTTTGATGTTTAGCACTACTACAAAAAAAAAGCCAAAAAGACCTATCCAAAAAGGCCAAAGAGACTGCTTTAAAGGCGGTCTCTAGCTAAGTAGTCTCATTGGCAAAGAGACTACTTTGATAAAAGTGGTCTCTAGAATTAAAAAAACTAAGACCGCTTATTGCTGAAAAATGGTCTCTAAAATGAGAAAACTAAGACCGATTATTGATGTTAGGTGGTCTCTTTTTTGGGAAAACAGAGACCGCCTATTGAACTTAGGCAGTCTCTGTTTGTGGAAAACAAGAGACCGCTTATCTGACTTCACAGGTCTCTTGGTGTAATTTAATAATAAAAAATAAAAAAAATTGTTTTTAAAACGTAAATCAAAATTACATTTCATCAAAATAACTAATTGATTATTGTACATGTAAAATTACCATCTTAAATACTTTATACATGATACAGAGTATAAAGTTATTCAAAACCCGTAATTATTAAAAAAAAAAACCCTTAATCTTCTTCATCGTGAACTTCAACAACTCCAACTGTAGATCTTTGTCTTTCGCTTGAATATGAACTGATCCATATGATTATATGCTGCAATTAACGTATATGAATTAGCTTAACATAAACAAATTGTACATAACTACATCATAAAATCCAAATCTAGAATTTCTTAAGCAAATTCGAAAATCCAGAATTTCATAAGCAAATAAAAAAAAAACCAGAATTTAAATGATGGGGTACCCTAAAAGAACTACTCTATCCCAATTGAATTGATGATTATCATTGAAACAACTAGCGAAAATTAGAGAAAAAAATAACTAAACAAAAAAAAATTACAACAAATTTGCTAAAATTAATCCTCTTTAATTCCCTTTCAATTCAATTCGTTTTTATAGTGTAATTGTAAAGAATCCTTGCCTTGTTTTCCACATTCTTTTTTTTCCATAAAAAGAAAATACAGAATTTTTTTTGCTCGACTATTTCCTCTTATTTTCGGCCTCTTCTCATACTAAGGTATAATAGAAAGTATTTGTGTATTAAAACCTATCGTAAACTAAAAAAAATATGTTGTAGGAATGCTCAGTTCGGTAGATAAGGGACATGCTATTCTTTTTCTTAAAAAAATCTCGTTAAATTCTATTATTGGAAATTTTCATTTGACTTAGCTTAGGCATTTTGTGTACAAAGACAAGTATTCTTTAACTATCATATATACATCCGATCATAGATCCAATATGTATTACTTTATTTTTTCAATTACAGAAATTCAAAAGGAGGATTTTCAATGCGAGATTTCAAAACATACCTTTCTGTGGCACCGGTCCTAAGTACTTTATGGTTTGGGTCTTTAGCCGGTATATTAATAGAAATCAATCGTTTTTTTCCAGATGCGTTGACATTCCCCTTTTTTTCATTCTAGTTATTAATATGGAAAGGGTTTAGCGAAGATTCGAGATAGAAGCAACTACCTGTGAATAATCCCTACCCTTTTTTATTTATTCTAAAAAATAGGATTAGTTTAGTAAAGAAGAAAAGTGGATTCAACCTTCCAAAAACTTAGGTTCAGGTTAAGTTAAGAGTTTTCTACACGATATTTAAATGAAATACTATGATTAGAGAGATATCTAGTTAGAAACCCTTTTGAATTTGATTACGCAGTAGTTATTTACTTAACTATTATTACTCTATTGATTTCCACAAAATCTTTCGAATTGCGAATTGTATTTCTAGTTAGCAACTTCTATTTTAGCAACTTTTCTATTTTTCTTGAAGAAGGGAAAAAATGGAAAAGTTGCTTGAATTAAATACCAAAAGGGGGTTCATGGCTAAGGGTAATTAATAAGATGAATGAAATAAATTTTGAAATGATATCTAAATTTAACTTCATTATACTCTTCCATTTGGTAGTTTGGTCAAAGTGAAAATTGAGTTTGCTCAAAAAATTAATCTCCACAATTTACAATCAATTCACTAAATTAATTATAGAAACAAAATTCAGAAAAATTACCCACAAATATAAAGTCCAAAATAAACACATTAAATAAATAATTATAGAGAAAGAAAAGATGAAGAGGGGAGAGAGATAGAGAAACCTTTGAACCCAAAGTGA